ATCAATTGTCTAGATAAAATAGAAGTTGCATAATTATAGTACTTAGTGGAATTAAATTACAATCCCTGTGGGTTCGACATCCTAACTTTCATACTATATTACAAAACTTGACACCGTACACTTGCGGCATAAATTCACGTTATAGAAAACGCGTGACAGGTTGTTCCAGCTCAATATCGTCTAGAGATGGGAAATTTCATGTCGCCTCATGGTTTTTTATAGACCAGTATCAGAATAGACGGTACGAGACCTTAGTTGATGCATATGCCTATAACTTTTTCGTTGTTGATTATGCCCTTTGTCTTTCTCCCTTTCCTCATTTCCTTTCAATTTTCCCTTGTTAATTTCTTCATGTAGCACTGCCTTTAGATCGCCCTCTTTTATTTTACACTCTGTGGGAACAATATACACAAAGGAACCAACTGGGATATCATTTAATTCCAAGACAGGCTCCAAGATTCTCACAGCTTTATTCATTGTTGGCCTGGATTTAGGATTATGGCTCAAGCATTGAAAAGCCAGTGCAGCCACTGTCTTGGCGCCTTCAATTGAATATTGACCTTCGAGTCTTGGATCCATTATTCTGTCTAGCTTATGAGGATCCTTCAAAAAAGGCATTGCCCAATTCACCAGATTCCGCTCTCTAGCAGTACGGCTCTTGTCCATAACCCGTTTTCCGGTGAGTAATTCTAACAGAACCACTCCAAAGCCGTAAACATCACTCATCGTTGTCAAGTGACCTGGAAGAAACAAGTTTTAGTGTCATAATTTCGTAAAAATCCAGGAAGGAAATTTTTCCGTTGACAATTGTTGGGCTTTGATACCACTTATTGTGTTGAAGCCTCGAGATTTTATTTTAGGCTAAATACACAATTGCGACAAGGAAACGATGTGGCGTGACAATTGGCCTATTCTACGTGAGATTGTCTTCAAACTTCAAAGTAACAACAATTGAGTATCTTACCAGTCATAACATATTCGGGAGCAGCATAGCCATGGGTGCCCATAACACGCGTTGACACATGGGTTTCATTTTCTTCCGGACCATCCGTTGCTAGTCCAAAATCAGAAAGCTTAGCGGTATAGTCCTGGTAAATAAAAACAGAGATTTTGATTCAATAATGATAAAAGAAGGTGATGCATATATAAATTTGGACCAAGGAAAGACGAAAATTTACAGAGTCTAGCAGTATATTTGAAGTCTTAAAATCCCTATATATCACTGGTTTCTCTTCCCCGTGAAGAAATGCTAGGCCTTTGGCAGCACCAACCACAATCTTTATCCTCGTCAACCATGGCAATGAACTAGTATATCCTGCATTAGTTAATTTATATATAATCTTTACTTTTTCATTAAGATGGGATAAGATGGAGTCTTTTATATTAACTAAAGATGGTATACTTACTTCGAAATAATAGATTTTCCAGGTTGCCTCTAGCCATGTATTCGTAAACGAGAAGCCTGTGCTCATCCTCACAACAATACCCAATCAATTTCACAAGATGGGGGTGCCTTAATTGCCCGAGAAGGACGACTTCAGTCTACAAACATAAACAAAAAAATGACTACTATTATATTATGCAATGGAACGAAAATAGTGAAAGTAAAATAAAATTCAAAAGACTGTTGAGTTCTCACCATCCACTCCCTGTGGCCCTGAGTGCCACCCAAATCAAGTAACTTAACAGCAACAGGCTGAGCCTCCATTCCCGGCCTACACTTATCATCAACGAACCCCTTGTGCACCGGCCCGAATCCACCTTCACCAAGAAAATTACTTGATGAAAAGTCATGAGTAATCTGTTTAAGTTCCGCCAGAGTGAAAATGTGAAGATTTGATGCAATGACAGAATTAGAGAGATGATCACTTGAGAGATCACTTATATCAGCAAGTGATAACCTTCGGACAGAATCTTCTTTCAACACTTTACGTCTGAGTTCTTCTGAAGGCAGGCTCTTGGCCTTGAAACAACTGAGTAGCAAAGATTTCCAGGAAATCTTAGGAGCCATAATATTTTATGATAACTTGTGAGAAATTGTCAATGCGTCAAATTTTGCAGATGTCTGTCTATTTATATAAGAAAAAAAAATATGGAGTTGGCGGCCGAGATTTCCGATGATTACAAACAATCCTAAGTTTCCCGTTTGTGAATATAGAAATCTAGGAGGTTTGCACGAATATTAATAATGTTGTGTAACGCTGAAGCGCCTTCGAACTTTCTCAAAGTCGTTGGACTGTAGTCTGTACAGCACCACGACTTCAAAATGACTAATGGAATTAATTGTTTCAATTGTCACTGAACTTATGTCTCTGTCTTCAATTGTTCACTGAAATTTAAAATGTCAAGTTTTGGCCATTGAACTTTGGGAAACATTGGACGTTATCCACTGATATAACTGTTGTTTAAAATCTCTAAAGGAATTGGTGACGTGGCGACGAAATGCACACGTGGTGGCGCCCACACCGTTAAACTTTGAGATGGTCGAATTTTGACCACTAAATTTTGAAAAACATCTTTGATTGCTCATTAAATTTTAAAAAACGTCTTCTACACTTTGAGGTGGTCGAATTTTGACAACTAAAATTTGAAAAACGTCTTCTATTTCTCACAATTAATTTAGATTTAATTGAAATTCGTAGTTAAATTTTGCATTAAAACTTGAGTTTAATTTAATTCTAACTATTGTGTATTTCGTTGTAAATTCAAAATTTTAATAACAAATTTATTGTGTATTTCATCGCAATTAGTATTTACTTCCTTTGCACAGCTTTGCAAATTTTGTCTATCATAATATTTGAAATTTGCAACGAATAATAAAATTGTTAATAAAATAAAATAAAATTTTCCTTTTAATATTTGAATCTTATAACGAAATACACAATAAACCCATGTTTGGTTAAGACTAAAATCAGATATTTAGCATATTTTGATAAAAGTTGATAAAATGTGTTGTTGAAAAATTTTGGGTCCCATAAATATGTAGTTAAAATTAATTATTGACTTTGAGTTTGATAAAAATCTAGATTTTAATTCTTACCAAACATGGACTAAATTTGTTGTTAGAATTAAATTAAATTCAAATTTTAATCCAAAACTTAACAACTAATTTTAATTAAATCTAAATTTATTGTGAGCAATAGAAGACTTTTTAAAAGTTTAGTGGCTAAATTTCGACCGTCTCAAAATTTAGTAGCCAAAATTCGACCAAAATTCAACCACCTTAAAGTTCAGTGAGCGGTAGAAAATGTTTTTCAAAAGTGTAGTGAGCAATCAAAAATATTTTCCAAAGTTTAGTGACTAAAATTCGACTATGTCAAAGTTTAATGGTGTGACGGGGACGCCATTAATTCTCTTAAGAGGTTTTAAACGAAAGTTATATTAGCGGGTGACGTTCAATGTTTTTCAAAGTTTAGTGGCCGAAACTCGACATCTCAAACTTCAATGGGCAGTTAAAGATATAGACATAAGTTGAGTGACAATTGGAATAATTAACTCTAAATGATGAGTGAGCAATGAGAAATTGACTCTACTGACCGCCTATCAACTTTTTTGTGGAGGATGATAAAGTAAGCCTCGTGTTTTTTCACCCCTCAAAAGCCATAATGAGTTTCTGTGCAATTTCAGAAATTGGATTTGATTCATGTATGGACTACAAAAAGTAAAAAAAAAAAATTCATTTCAAACAGAGTAGTGCAGTTCAAGCTTAAACTGATCAGAATTCTTTTTCCACGTTTCAATCAAATCACTCGACTTTTACGCCTCCAAAAATTACCAAAAAGAGAAGAAAAAACGAGTCTTGCTAAAAGTAGGACATGATATACACCTAAATTAAAGTTTTCTCACAGTGAAGGTCTGGACGGTGGAGGTTTGGAGACCCTCTAGAACTCCAAAGCATTCCTTCATTTTACGGACGGGTGCCCAGTCGAAGCTGCTTACAAAGGAGAGCCTGCCGCATCTAAACATTGATAGGAATTGTGAATTTCGCGGGTCACACACGGAAACTGGACAGCATCTTTTCTTCCTATGTTCATTTACATCATACACTAGGGAGAAGATTAAAGCTTGGTTAGGGATGAGGAGATCGATGACCACGGTTGCTAGTGCTTTGAAATTGATCAAGAATGAGGTCCGAGGTACTTCTTGGCAAGGTAAAGGTAAGAAAATTGATCTTGCGTGCACCGTCTACCAAATATGGACAGCGAGGAGTAGAAAGATTTTTTAGGATCTTAGACCACGCTTCGATAGTATTGTGAGATGATTCAAAACATATGTATACAAAGTTATGTTTTCCTTATATTCTAATGTTTTGATTCATTATGAGTCTTTAGCGTGGGGCCGTTAAATCTTGCCGTTTGTACATATTTTCATTTTGTTAGCCCAAAAATACATGGAGTACTTGTATTCACCATTTGATATTTGTTTGTCCGGTGTACTTGTATATTGGTCAATATAATTTTGCATTTACAAATAAAAAATTACTACTTTTAGCAGAACAGAAGTTCTGTATTAGCAAAAATTAAAAAAAAAAAATTGACATAGAAGTTTATGAACTAAGGAATTAAATTCTGGCTGCTAAATTTTAATGGGTAAAAGTTAAAATTCGGTAATTCACCAAATTCTATCAGTTTATTCATATTAAACGGAAAGTGGAAAATACATGGCTGCTGATAAAAAAAGGGAACTTGGCCTTCAAAAGTAGAGAGTGGTGGCATACTGCATCGGTTAAATACTTAAATCATATTAAATTGAAAGTGGAAAATATATATAAAGATTGCCTTGACAGGTGGGCTGCTGATAGAAAGCGGATAGGTTTATCCCCCCATGTACAGAAAGAATTGCACCAGAATTAGACACATTCGTGCGGGCTCCACCATGCATTTAAAAAATGTATGTATCCTGGTGAAATTGGCTTCTTTCTGTACATCTAGCAGATTTGGAGGGGATTTGGCCTTCAAAAGTAGACAGTAGCAACATAGTTTCAAACAATTAACAGTAATCTTTGCAAAACCTGGGATGAAGGATACACACAAAACATGTGACTCCTTCAGCGTCCCACGAAAACAAACCATCCCATTTCTTCTTATTTGTAAATTCCATACTGTCGGAATGTTATACATTATTTGTTAGGGTTCATTCGAGACATTACTGCTCTGGGACAAGCTATTAGAGAGGAATATTGTATATCTTCAATATGTCGCGACTTTGATATGATATGCACATTTTTTAATAAATAAGTGGTGATATGTCTAGAATTCAAATATTTTACTTAGCTCTGATCACGTTAAGAGTTTCATTTCAAAGGTAAACTATTAGATATGAATCATATCTATTTTCGGTTTCATACATTTAAATACAGTTTTAACAAGATTCCATACGTTAGTCTTAGTGACCTAGATTATTAGAATTAAATTAAAAGTGGGAAATCTTTAATATATTTTCCTTGGCAGGTGGGTTGGACATAGATTCTTGACAATAGGATTTGAAACCGATTATTAACATCTGTATGACAATATCCACGAGCAATCTAAGGAGTTTAATATGGTAGAATTGTTTTTTTATGTTTAATGATGATTACGTACGTTAATGGAAACAACGGTCGACAAGACTATATCTAGCTACTTTATTGTTTTTTTTTTAATTTTAGTTTGAACATAAGAGTATTTGATTATATTGATATCTATTGTCTTGTGCGGCTCTTTTCATGAATAGTCTTATTATGGCAAGAAAAAATTCATAAACTAATATGTTTACTGCCCACTGTTTCAAATGGCATCAGAAGGGGGTATCGTGCGGTAATAGTCTTCACTAAATTATGTTCCACGTAATATTGAGTCTACTTGTAATTGCAACAATTATAAACATTGGGATGAATTAATAATGAAGCTTATAAAAGATTTTAATGCATGAAAAATAACTTATTCATCCATTAACAAAAATAGTAAATTACTATGGTAGTGTATGAAAATTTTCTAATGGAAGGAAAACTAGGTTATACGAGTCGACATTAAGCATAACGTCGGTCCTTGACATGACGGTCCACACAAAAATTTTAATTTCTTTTTTTTTTTTTTACAATAATATTGTCTAGTATTATTTAATATATTATTTCACGCGCCATAATTGTGTTGATTTTGCATGCGTCCCCACTGTGGAACCATGTTAGCTTCCATACTTTTTCCTTTCAAGTAAAGGAAATGAAGAAAAAATTGGTCCAATGTCTCCGCAGGCGTCTCCACATTGGGAACATGTTAGTTTCCATACTTTCAACTATAGGAAATGAAAGATAAAGTTGGTGCAATGTTTTAGTCAAAAAAATCTAATCATTAAGCCCCTTTTTTATACGGATGTTTCAATGAACCCAGATTCCAAATGAATATCTCGTCCGATTTGGTAAATGGACATATTACGATTATTGAAGGATCCACAAGATCCTCGCCTCAATCTCAAGTACTGTTGTGTAGTCTCTAAAGTACCGTTGTGCTAGTGCCTTGAAATGTTAGGTAGTCTCTGAAGTACCATTGTGCTACCACGGCATCTCGGGGGTTATCGGGCATCTAGAACAGAGAATAAGTTTTCTCTTCAAATATTCTGCATTCTTCTACTTCATTTTTATTTTATCTTAGGGATGGCAACGGGATGGGGACATGGCGGGGCCGTTTAAGGCGGGGCAGGGTCCTTGCCCCATTTACTATCCCGTTTAATTTTTTTTAAAAGTTTTTGATAATTTATTTTTTATTGCCCGCTTTCATTAGATTTAGACAAATAATTTTAGTTGTCATTGTCTATTAGAACTAATGAAATTTCGTAAAATTTTTCATTTAAAGTATTGAATTCTAAAAAAAAATAATAAACGGAGCGGGGCGCCCATTACTTGTTCCCGCCCCGAATACCCCGATTAACCGAGTTATCCCGCCCCGTTCAGGATGGGGTTCCGCGAATATTGGGTTCGTTGGATTTTTTTGCGATCCCTATTTAATCCCTCTCTTTTTTCTTTTTTCTTGTTTATAT